AAGCTGTTTTCCTTGGGAAATCCTGTGGGCACTGTGAAAGTCAGTACCTGTCCCTCCTAGGATTTTGCATGTCATGTTTTTTTTTACAGCTTGGTTGCCTTTGCAGCTGACCCAGCATGTATGTGTCACCGCCTCCTTGTGGCCAGCCCCTGTAGGTATGGACGGACGGCTTTAGACCCTTGATCCCCCACTTCCTATGGAACATGTTCACATCTATGCTTTTTTGAGCTGCTGCATTTTTGGAAAGGGTCAGAGACTTTGAAAAACAAAAAGCAGCATTTGTTACAATAGACTTCAATGGAGAATCTGTTGAAATGCATGGTAGTGCATTTTTGCCACGCTTTGCATCTTTATTCTGCCAAGCAAAAAAAAAAAAGGAGCTGAACTGAACAAAACGCGGTAACAGCGTGTGAAAAATGCATCAAAAACCTGCGTAGAAAACAAACTGCATAGGTGTGAACCTAGAGCCTAAAATAAGTTGTATTTATTTTTAAACTTTTTTTTTTACTTTCTTTACATTTTTTTCCTATATTATGTCATCAGAATATCAGTGTCACCATAGTGAAACTGTACTACTCTGAGGGGGTGATCAGAAATTTTTTTTTTCACATTTATTGCTTATGCAGTTATGATCACTGTATAAGCAATAGTTTTAGCTGTCATGAATGGGTTTTCCATTCATGGACAGCTTGCTTATGGTTGTGATCCATGATTGGCTACAGCTAATCACATGGTACAGGTAGCCAGGCATCATGTGATTGCTGTGGGCCAATCACAGATCACAAGAGTAAGTAAGCTGTTCATGAATGGACTAATCATAGTGATCACATGATACTCGGTTACCGGTTACCAATAATCTGCTGTGTCTAGTTGAAAAGTAGAAAGTGGCTAATGAGGTGACTTTTTATACCTTTATATTTACCTCATAATCCTGCCAGTGACACACTTTTGGAACTTATTGAACAGATACAACAAAACACCTTTAACCCTTTTCTCCACTTTTAAACTCAGGTGGCCAGACCATTTTTGTAGTTTCTCTATTGCTTTTTTATATTTTTCCCTTAAAGCTTTCAGAGTTTGTAAAAGACCCACCAAACCATATACTGTCTGAAAGCACATGACCAGTATAATAAAACTGAATCTTAAGGCCCCGCAATATTTACACAAATGTTTATCAAACAATATTTTCATTAAAAATACATTAAAATCATTGTTCACAGATACAAACAAATCAAATTTTGCCAAAGTCCTGTTAAATTTCCACTAAATATAATATAAGCTTAACCTGTATTGAGTTAATAAATAACAAATATTTGTGCATTTTAAATTACACCTTTTTGCAAAGTGAAATTTGGAGGTGTACATTTTTCCCTTACAACTTTCAAAATTTGTAAAAGACCTACCAAACCATATATTTTCTGAAAGCACATGACCAGTAGAATAAAAAGAAGATGCTACTGAATTTTAAGGCCCCGCAACATTTGTGCAAATGTTTATCAAAACAATATGTTCGCTAAAAATACACTAAAATTATTATTAGCAGATATAAACAGAGCACATTTTTGCTAAATTCCTGCTAAATTCCTACTAAATATAACAGCTTAATCTTTTCTGAGTAAAGAAATAAGACATACTTGTAAATTTTAAATTGCGCCTTTTTGTGAAATGGTGAAAATCAAATATACGAAAAACTGTAAATAACCAAATTTTTCTAAAAATCTGGAGACTTTCATTTTTCATTTCCAGCTTTTAGAGTTTGTAAAAGACCCCCCAAACCATGTATTTTCTGAAAGCACATGACCAGTAGAATAAAAAGAAGTTGCTACTGATTTTTAAGGCCCGGTGATATTTGCATAAATGTTTACCAAACTATATTTTCGTTAAAAATACACTAAAATCATTGTTCGCAGATACAAACATAGCAAATTTTACAAAATTCCTGTTAAATTCCTGCTAAATATAAAAGCTTAACCTGTATTGAGTTATTAAATACACAAATATTTGTAAATTTTAAATTGTGCACAAAAATTTCTCTAAAAATGTGGAGGTTTTAAAGTGATACTAAACCTAAAAACATTTTTTCCCTTAATACATTGCTTGCATTAAAGCAATAGTAACGTCCGCTTTGTGATTTTTACCTACATGTAAGCTTATAATAAAGGTTACCTGTAGGTAAAATGAATATCTCCTAAACGAGCACCATTTAGGAGAAATTCCCTCTTTTTGTCAGCCGACGCATGTGCTCTGAAAGATTGGCATACCCGTGATGTCATCGCGGCTTGGCTGGTCAGGTAAGTATTTCATAAAGTGCTAGTATGGAATGCATACTAGTACATAATGCAATTGCCTTGCTGGGAATTTTATTTTTTTTTTTTTAAAGCTGTGGTTTACTACAGCTTTAAGGTAAAAAACATTTTTAGTTTCCCTGTGCTCCCCATTCCCTGTGTTAAGAGGAAGAGAGGAGAGAAGAGATCAGTGCTCTGCACAGCTGCATCTCTTCTCCCCTCACTTCCACTGGCTCTTGCTGCTGTCAATCAAATGCGATGAAGAGGAAGTGGAGGCGGGGCTAAGTTTCGCAGTGTGTGTCTCTGTAGACAAACAGGTTGGGAGCGAGCATGCAGCGTGTGTCCCGTAGCAAAAGGCTTGCTCTGGGGACACACAAAGAAAAGAGCCAGGATTGCCGATGGGGGGCGAGGAAGATTGGGGCCGCTCAATGCAATACCACTGCACAGAGCAGGTGAATATAATATGTTTTTTATTCAAATTTTTTAAAAATCTGGCTGTAGTAATACTTTAGTTTTTCATTTACAGCTTGCAGAGTTTGTAAAAGGACCCCCCCCCAAAAAAACCCCCATATATTTCTGAAAGCACATGACCAGTAGAATAAAAAGAAGGTGCTACTGATTGGATGTAGCTGGGTGTGCTAAAGCGTATGCCCATAGAGGGCTGTGTTTACCCGCCCGGGGATGCACAGGTGTTGTGCATCCTTGTGCATGCAGTCCTATTCATGTCAGTTGGGACACAGCAACTGCAAGGACAGATCTGACATCTATGTGGGTATAGGTGCATGGCCCCAAATGCAGTCAGTGTGAGTTCAGGAACATGCATCCACATGGATCTCAAGTTGGAAGCAGTGGCTGTGTCCCAGCAGCTGCAGCCGGCTCTCCCTCTTCACCCTCCCGCCGGCTGCAGCTGCTGACAGCTGTCAGGATGGGGAGTGGGGGTTGGTAAACTGGGTAAGAAGGGAGAGCCGGATAGCAGGAGATGGGGGGGGGGAAAGGGGTTGCACTGAAGGGGGAGACTCAGCAGCAGGAATTATTTAATCCTTTAGGCTGTGGCTCTCATGCAATTTTCGTCAGGAGAAACAGAGAGGTGAAGCCAGTAACTGCATGAGAGAAGATCAGTGCTGGGGTGGGGGTAGAAGGGAGGTATCGGTGCTGGGGGACACAGATAAGGGGAAGGAAGGGGCCAGTAAGGCGAAGCGGGGTTAAAGCCTAGGAGCTAGGTGGGAGAAGTGGAGGGAAGAAGGCAGCGGGTAAGAGGCACAGCAGCAGCAATTACCTTTGGGGGTCACATTTTAAGTTAATAGTTCTAATCAACGGCTTGTCACAGCCACTAATCAGAGCTATTATTTTGTTCAGCAGATTCTGCTGAACATTTCTGCTATAAGTTCATGGTCACTGAAGTGACCATGAACTTATAGCAGAAGCAGGTATGTGAGGAATGTCAGGTCCATATGGCGTATGGACATGGCCAGCTGGAAGCAGTGCTGTAGGACTTGGTAGCGAAAGGGTTAATCTTATCCTCAGCAGACCAAAAGGGAGTAAATAGAAGTTCAGTCCAAGCTGAATGTTATGTACAACATTTATGTAGTTGATCTGTAAAGCACTGTGTTTTGATTCTTGTGATATCTGTCCATACAGGTGAAAAAAACAAATTGTTTTTTAACTGTGTTGAAGAAAATACCAGAAATATTTTGTATATTTCTATATGCATATTTGTAACATGTTTATAAATGAGTTTGGAATTAAAGGTACGATGTCAGTGTTTGCAGATTAAACCAAGCTATGTAGTGGAATAATGTCCTGTCTCCTATTTACAGGTCAACTTCAATGCACTATGCACTGTTTGATTTGGACAACTATGTGGTAAATTAGGTTTAAAGTTGATAAATGTAAATATATGCACTTGGGGGGTAAAAACATGCATACATGAATGTAATACATTCTGGGGGATTCAATGAAGGAGTTGAGAAGGCTCTGGGGGTGTTCTGATAGATCACAGACTCTATAGTAGCATGTAATGCAAAGCTTCTAAAGCAGTTTCTAAAGCTATCAAAACACTTTGCATTCGTTCAAAAAATGCAAAGCATTCTCTGAACGACGCTCATGCCAAGGGCCAACCTCCTGTGTTCAGAATGCAGCAGGGCAGCTGCTCAGCACTGGACCTAGAAGCAAATGGAGATCCTTGGAGTAGCAGTGTTTATTTCATTGATTTTCAGCTTTCAGGGGCATTAGCCCGGCACATAATTCTTCTTTAAACAACAACAGAAAAATAATTATTGATGTGCCAGAAATGTAGTGTACCCTCAAATTCCTTTTTGAGCTGACAACACATTGTCTTTCAAGCTCTGGAATCCTAAGCACATGGTCTTAGACCTGCTCAATAAATTGCTGATGGATTACAAAGCACAGCGCCCTTTCCTCCTCATCTCCATAACCAAGTAGGAAATTATGAGCTCACAAGATTTCTGGAGGAATCAACAGGTTTTTGTTTTGTTTTTCCTCACTAGCATTTACATAAAAAGACAAATAGTAAGTTAAGTGTAACATAAGTTGGATAAATATCACAGAATTACCTCCCATTGCCATGGAAGACATTTTACAAAATAAATATTAAAAAAAATCAGTATAAACTTTGCAATAGAAAATATAATCTAAATAGTTAAACAGCATTTCCTATTTAAAAAAAAACAACATAATATACAATCTATAAAATACCTGGGAATGAAGTGGAATATAGTCTTCATAGATGTTTTGCCACAAGACATAAAGATCAGGTATCATGAAGTCATCACAGATTTTAGAATATTCCACAGTGCTATCCAGTAAACCAGTCACCGCATTTGACAAACTTGTGTCACAGCCAGTAAGAATGTTGTTTGACTTTAAGACCACGCTGTTTTTAATAGGTATTCTGCTTCCCTTTGGGCTATGAACTGGTCTGTAGTATAACATTTTAACAAGATTTATTGCAACGTCTAACTTATTTCCTATGGTTTCTATGTTTTTTTCCTCTGCTTCTTGCATACCGAAGGCTGGATCTTTGGTTTCAGTAAGAGATTCAACTGAATGGTCTGAAGGCAATTTATCCAGTCCATCTCTGTCTAATATGTTGACATTCCCAACCTCACAGTCTGATAATGTGCTAGTACCCAAGGAAAAATGCCCATAAGCAATATTCTGGGCAATCCTCCTTGGTACTTTACAAACTGCTTCATAGTCAGCATCAGCTACTCTTAAAGAGGAACAAAAATGGCATTTTCGTGGAAAAGTCCCAGTACTCACAGTATGTGAACAGTTCTGTGTTGCTTGGCTATATTCTTCCAATTCTGTCCAGTATTCAGAACCAGAATATGCAAAGTCTTCTTGTAAAAGTGCAGAATATGAGCACTGGATATCTGTACGATTCAGATTTTTAATTGTGCTGTGCACAGATTTGGTCTCCTGACCCTCTTCATTATTGTTCTTCCTATACAGACTAGTAAGGCAATGTTTAAGCCTATCCTTCTCAGAAATTAGTTTCTGTAATTTCTCAATAGAGAGAGCTTCAATCCGTGCAATCACAGTGTCAAATCTGAAAAAAAACGTTCCAGCATAAAAGCACATTTACTGCAGACAAACTCAGCTTGACCGTCGCGTAAGATCTCCTTACCCAGAACATGTGATAATAGAACCTGAAGATTAAGTTTGGCAGCTGTATGAAAAATCCATCTTCTCTGATTTCCACAAAGCTCCCTTCCACAAATTCTGCAAATGTCTTTCATTTTTAAATCCAATATTGAATTTGATGTATAGAGCTCCCCTCTGATTGAACAGGAATGGCAAACACTCTGATACTAACAGTGATTGGCTATAAATCTGAGGATGATGTAATTAGCCAAGTTATATAATTAAATACATAGATAATATAGGTAACCATAAGGCAGTAGATAAACCTGGGTTCAAGTAATTTATTTTAAATGTTTCAATGTTAGTTGTTAGTAGTTTGGCAGTAACTCAAATGTAAAAATTAATCCGTTGTTCTACTTTCTCTTCAGTTAAAGATCAATTGAGCTGTAGTAAAAACAAAGACAACTACATTTTAGAGTTTTAAAAAAACACATTTTTGACATTACATACTTTACCTAAACACAATTTACATTTTTATATAAATGTTATATTAGCATACTCTACTACAAAATCCAAAAGGTGCAATTCTTGCAATATCAACAACTTGTAGCTTTAATCAGATTTGAGCAAAAACAATCATGGATTCATGAACAACAGAAATTGTCAAACAAATCTGATTTCTTTTTATGAGGTGGTAAGCAAAACCTTAGACAAAGGAGTGGCTGTGGACGTAGTAAACCTGGATTTTGCAAAAGCGTTTGACAAACTTCCCCGCACATTGCTAATGTGTAAGGTAAAGTCTACAGACTTAGAAAAATCAGTTTGTAAATGGATAGAAAACTGGCTAAAAGACCGTATTCAAAGAGTAGTGGTTAATGATTCATACTCTGAATGGTCTAGGGTTGTCAGTGGTGTACTCCAAGATTCAGTGTTGGGAACCTTACTTTATAATATATTTATAAACGATATAGGGTCTAGGATTAAAAATCCCATTTCAGTCTTTGCAGATGACACCAAACTGAGCAGTGGAATAATGTCCTTACAGGATGTCTCCGTCTTACAAGTCATCCTCAATGCACTGTTTAATAGGGCAACTGTGTGGCAAATGAGGTTTAATGTTGATAAATGTAAAGTTATGCACCAGGGGCCTAAAAATGTGCATGCATCATACATACTGGGGGGGGGGGGGGGGGGGGTAAAACTGGATTAATCAATGGTGGAGAAGGATCTGGGGGTTCTGGTAGGTCATAAGCTTAAAAATGGCATGCAATGCCAAGCTGCGGTTTCTACAGAGAGCAAAATCCTCTCTTGTATTAAAAGTGGTATAGACTCCAGAGAGAAAGATATCATTGTGACACTGTACACATCATTAGTAAGACATCCGGAATATGCAGTTCAGTTTTGGGCACCAGTTCACCAGTTCACACAAAAAAAGGTATTGGGGAACTGGAGAAAGTGCAGAGAAGGGCAACCAAACTGATAAGAGGCATGGAGGAGCTCAGCTATGAGGAAAGATTAGAGGAACTGAATTTATTCTCTCTTGAGAAGAGAAGATTAGGGGGGATATGATCAACATGTATAAATACATAAGTGGTCCATATAGTGAATTTGATGTAGAGTTATAAACTTCATGGTCATCACAGAAGACAAGGGTGGACTCTTTACATTTGGAGGAAAAGAGATTTAATCTCCAAATACGGAAAGGCTTCTACACAGTAAGAGCTATGAAAATGTTGAATAGATTCTCTCAATAGCTGGTTCTGAACAGCTCAGTAGATTGTTTTAAGAAAGACCTAGATTCCTGCCTAAATGCACATAGCATAACTGGATACTAATATTTATAGGTAAATATATAGGTGAAGAGCAGTGGTCCAAAATTACTCCAGATCATTGTGCAGGTCTGATCTGCAACTACAGGAAACATTTGGTTGAGGTTATTGCTGCCAAAGGAGGGTCAACCAGTTATTAAGTCCAAAGGTTCACATACTTTTTTCCTCCCTGCACTGTGAATGTTTACATGTTATGTGCAATTAAACCATGGCAACATCTAATGGCAACATCTGGGATGTTCAGCAGACTGTGTTCTTCTATTGTTGTGACTTAGATGACGTTCAGAGCACATTTTATGCCCAATTCATGCAAAACTCCACGTAATCCCAAGGGGTTTTTCTTGCAACTGTATATACTGCATGACTTATCTTTTGGATAACAGAACTGCATATTGTACAGGGCACATGGCTCAAGAGTGCATATCACACAGGGTGCTGGACTCAGGAAATGCATAACACTCAGATTCCAGGGCTAATGAATACATATCACACAGGGTACAGGGCTCAGGAGTGCATACCACACAGGGTGCAGGGCTTAGGAATGCATATCACACAGGGTGCAGAGCTCAAAAGTGCATATCACACAGGGTGCAGAGCTCAAAAGTGCATATCACACAGGGTGCAGAGCACAGGAGTGCAAATTCCCCAAATTGTATTTTATGAGGGTAATATGCCACAATCATCCATATACTCCATGATTTATGTTTTTTGATACATGCATTACATTTTTTACTGATATGAAAGTATTATTTTCTAAATAAAAATACAGAGTTAGACAAATGTATGCTCCTCTTAGCCTGAGGAAACATGTCCATATATCTGTATTTCTCTGGTGATCTGTCCCAGGTTCTTTGTAATCCCTTAACAATAGGTTTCTATTAATTATTACTTAGGTGTGTGAAATGGATCCATGGTCAGGAGAAGTAATTCATTTCAAAGAGGAGTTGGTCAAAGAACTACCATAACTAAGTGGTTCTCAAACTGTTGTATACACACTACCAGGTTTCCATGGGCACACTGCACATGGACCCTAGACACCCTTCTACACTCTGTTGTTGGTTGTGCAGTCACCGGAAGACAGTAGACAGGTAAAGCTTTTGCTGATATGACTTCCTCTCAAGACTTTATATGATGTCATGTTAAGCTTTTCTTGGACACACCCAGATGGTCCTTAGATATTCTTCTACGTTCTGCTGTAGAATGTATGGGTACTGGAGACAACAAACAGAAGCTTTTACTGTTAGGGCCTCCTCCTAATCCAAGACTATACAGTGCATCCAAAAAGTATTCACAGTGCTTAACTTTTGCAACATTTTGTTGTTACAGCCTTATTCCAAAATGGATTAAATTCATTTTTTTCCCGCAACATTCTACAAACAATACCCCATAATGATAACGTGAAAGAAGTTGATTTTGAAATCTTTGCAATTTATTAAAAAAAAAAAAAAACACGTACACAAGTATTCACAGCCTTTGCTCAATACTTTGTTGAAGCCCCACTCTGGAACAGGTTTTCATCAAGGATGTCTCTGTACATTGCTGCATTCATCTTTCCTTCGATCCTGACTAGTCTCCCAGTTCCTGCCGCTGAAAAACATCCCCCCAGCATGATGCTGCCACCACCATGCTTCACTGTAGGGATGGTATTGGCCAGGTGGTGAGTGGTGCCTGGTTTCTTCCAGACATGACGCTTGGCATTCAGGCCAAAGAGTTCAATCTTTGTTTCATCAGACCAGAGAGTTTTGTTTCTCATGGTCTGAGAGTCCCTCAGGTGCCTTTTAGCAAACTCCAGGCGGGCTGCCATTTGCCTTTTACTGAGGAGTGGCTTCCGTCTGGCCACTCTACCACAAAGGCCTGATTGGTGAAGTGCTGCAGAGATGGTTGTTCTTCTGGAAGGTTCTCCTCACTCCACAGAGAAACGCTGGAGCTCTTTCATAGTTACCATAGGGTGCTTGGTTACCTCCCTGGCTAAGGCCCTTCTCCCTCGATTGCTCATTGTGGCCGACGGGCCACTCTAGGAAGATTCCTGTTGGTTTAAAACTTCTTCCATTTCCATGATGGAGGCCACTGTGCTCATTGGGACCTTCAATGCTGCAGAAATTTTTCTGTACCCTTCTCCAGATCTGTGCCTTGATACAATCCTGTCTCGGAGGTCTACGGACAATTCCTTGGACTTCAAGGCTTGATTTGTGCTCTGACATGCACTTATAACTGTGGGACCGTATATAGACAGGTTTATGCCTTTCCTAATCATGTCCAATCAATTGAATTTCCCACAGGTGGACTTCAATCAAGTTTGGAAACATCTCAGGAATGATCAGTGGGAACAGGATGCACCAGAGCTCAATTTTGAGTGTCATGGCAAAGGCTGTGAACTCTTATGTACATGTGTTTTTTTTCGTTCTTTATTTTTAATAAATTTCAAAAAGACTTCAAAACAAACTTCTTTCACATTGTCATTATGGAGTATTGTTTGTAGAATGCTGAGGAAAAAAATTACCATATTTTCCGGCGTATAAGACGACTGGGCGTATAAGACGACCCCCTACTTTTCCTGTTAAAATGTAGTGTTTAGGCTATACTCGCCGTATAAGACTACCCCTCTTCCAATGCACACCAGTGGGAAGAATCGTGCCCCATCATTGGTGTCAGTGGGAGGAATAGTGTCCCATCATTGGTGTCAGTGGGAGGAATAGTGTCCCATCATTGGTATTAGTGGGAGGAATAGTGCCCCATCATTGGTGTCAGTAGGAGGAATAGTGCCCCATCATTGGTATCAGTGGGAGGAATAGTGCCCCATCATTGGTGTCAGTGGGAGGAATAGCGCCCCATCATTGGTGTCAGTGGGAGGAATAGCGCCCCATCATTGGTGTCAGTGGGAGGAATCGTGCCCCATCATTGGTATCAGTGGGAGGAATCGTGCCCCATCATTGGTATCAGTGGCAGGAATAGTGTCCCATCATTAGTATCAGTGGGGGGAATCGTGCCCCATCATTGGTGTCAGTGGGAGGAATAGTGCCCCATCATTGGTGTCAGTGGGAGGAATAGTGCCCCATCATTGGTGTCAGTGGGAGGAATCGTGCCCCATCATTGGTGTCAGTGGGAGGAATAGCGCCCCATCATTGGTGTCAGTGGGAGGAATAGCGCCCCATCATTGGTGTCAGTGGGAGGAATTGTGTCCCATCATTGGTGTCAGTGGGAGGAATCGTGCCCCATCATTGGTATCAGTGGCGGGAATCGTGCCCCATCATTGGTGTCAGTGGGGGGAATCGTGCCCCATCATTGGTGTCAGTGGGAGGAATCGTGCCCCATCATTGGTGTCAGTG